TGACTGTGTCACTTCGGCCAACCCACTTAACCTTCCTCTGCTGGTTTGCAGATCTATAAAATGGGTGAAATAAAAGCAGCCATCTGGGTTCGGAGCAATAATACAACAGGTAGGGCATCTGCCTTGCACACGCTCAACCTGGGTTTGTGATCCCTGGCACCCCAAATGGTCCCCTGGACTCCCCAGGAGTGATCCCTGAATGCAGAATCAGAAGCCCTGAGCACTGATGAATGTGGCCCCCAAACCAAAATAAAACAGCAAAACAGCAGTCTTAGGCTTAGGAATATTAACTGAGGCACAGACATGACACAGTATCTGGCACATGCTAAGGACTCCATAAATTCAGTACTGTTGGACTATTTTGCTGCCACTGCTCCCAAAGAGTCTTTACTTTCATCCCCCCACCCCCTTCTCCTAGGAGGCCCACAGTTACCCAGGGATATTTCCTCCTTTACTTTGAGTGGAAGAGGGTTTGGGACAGTGCTAACCACATCCCACAGGGGAGCCAGAGCTTCAATCATCTGCTCAGAAAAGACCAACTTCTTCTGGGAAGAGGTGGGTAGCATGCACAGCTGTCCAGATGCAAAGTCCTGTCCTCTAGATTTGGCCATCCCTGTATGTGTTCAACACTGCTGATGAGCAGACGGGGCCTAGGTGAGTTTAAAGGGTTGGTGGCAGCACCTTGAGAATTCTGCCCTGTCTGACTGGAATGCCAGGGAACCTGCATCTAGTCTGGCTAAATAGAGTGTGGTCTAGGGGTTGGGGCCACAGTCAGGGTCCAGCCAGTTTGCATTCGTGCATTATTTTCCCTGTCCACGGAGGACTGGGCTGAAGTCCACAGACTCATAAGATTCTAGCCAAGCAGACCCCCAGTCATACCCCCTCCGTTCCTGCCCCAGCTCCAAATTCCGTGGTTTTCTTTGAGGGCCAGTAGCTGGTGCCAGTGTTCCTTCTGCGGTTGCCTGTGCCCTCCCTCCTCTGCGCACACCCCCTCCCCCTCCTGAAACCAGCGAGGAGAGACGGGGCAGTAAATTGGCTGGTGTCGAGGATCTGCAGCAGACAAGATGATTAAGAGGCCTACGCCGGAGCGCCCGGGGCAGGGAATGTCAGCCCAAGTTGGAATCGCGCAACAGGCCTTGGCATGAGCGAGCCTGGGAGCCGGGAGGGCGGGCGGCCCCAGCTCCAGGGTGGGCCGCGGCCCCACAGACTCGCCGGAGTCACCGAACCTGGCACCCGGCGACGGCGGGGTCGGGCCGGGCCAAGGCGAGCCTTTTCCTCGCAAAACCCGCGAAGCAGAGGGCAGGAGGGGGCAGGGGCCGGGAAGGGGGCGTTTCCGCAGGCACCGAGAAGGGCAAAGGGACCGGGAAGGATGCGCCGGGTCTCAGCAGTGAGGGGACAGGGAGGAGGGGCGCGAGGGGAGAAACAAAGGCGGGCTGCGGGAGGCGGGGGCCCGCTCCAGCCCCGCCGGGGGCGCCGCACAGACCAGCCTTTCTCACAGTCTCGAGGGCCGCCGGGCGACGCAGAGCCCTGTGATCAGCCCGCCGCCGCGCAGACACGCTCCCCCCCCCCCGCGCCCCACTGCGCTCCCCAACGCGCGCATGAAAAATGGAAAGGGGAAGCGGCGCTCTGGGCTCCCTGCACTGGGAAAGCGGCCGCGCTCGGAACACACATAAATCTTCATTGTAATTCCCTTCCATGCGCTCGCCTGAAATATCAGGCCCGAGATAGGATATGACAAGCGCTGGGAAGAAGGGGAGGGGAGCTGGGGAGTGAGGGGTGCTCCAACCCCTGCCACGCGGGCTGCCCAACTCCTGCAGAGCTAGCTCCAAGGCCGGGAGCCCGCAACCCCAGCGCGCCCCGGTGCCCTTCTCTTCCCATTCCTGCTCCCCGCACCCCCACCCACCCCCCACCCGCCCAGCGCGCGCTTGGCTGCGGGCCATTCCGCCCTCGGTGCTCCGCTGAGACACACACACCCCCTTCCGCAAGCCCCGAATTCCCGCCGCTCGCCCCGGGCTCTGGGGCTGGGGAGCGGAGAGAAGAAAGGGAAGGGATCCCAGGCCTAATCAGCGCCCGCTGCAATGTGGGACCGTTTAGAGGCCTCCCCTCGGCCTTCTTTCAGGATTACTTGTGAAAATTGTGAATATCCGTCCTGTGGAAGGATTTCCGAGATTGGTGGGGGAAGTATCGGGTTTGGTGGAGGCGGAGAGAGCGCGCTAAGACTGGAGCTTTGTTTACAAACACGGGATCCGGGAGATGGAGCGGCGTGGGGTGCGTGGGGGGGGACAGAGGAAGGGGCATGAAGGGGAGTGAGGCAGTCGTTGAAAGGTCTGTGGCGCGGAAGAAATGCCTGGAGGAACAGAAAGCCTCCTCGCCATTCAAAAAAAAAAAAATTAAACCTTTCTAGCTGACAGTAAAACCCAGGGGCAACTCCCACTCTGAACTCCTTGGCGACCTGTCCCTGTCCCAAAGTACTCGCTTAAAAATCACCAGCCGCCTCCTTTTCCTTCAGGGAACAGCGACCACCAGCGGTTTAAACCTGCTTAGGGTCAGAGACCTCTTAGGAAATGGACCTATTGATTCTCCATTCCTGCTAACAGACAGGTCCCTTTGAATTCCACGTTGAGGTGCGGGTGTCCGAGAAGGCGGTGGAGAAGGCGCGATCCGGAAGGGGTTCTGATTACGTATACAACCCTGACCTTGTGGGACTGAGCTTTCCAGAAACCGCAGGGCTCTCAGAGAGGCGTGACACCCAGAAGAGCCCCAGGGACCCACCCCCCGCACCGGGTCCTTCCTCTCCACCTGGGTCCTGCCCTGCAAGCCTCAGCCGCTGCTGCCCCGCCCCCCTCCCCCCAAATCCACCGGAGCGGGCGGATGCAGAGGCCCCACAGCCCAGCGAGGCCTCCCCTGGCGGGAGTTCCCCTGGCGGGGACGAGTTTGGCAGTGATTGCCACATTACAAGATGTTACATTCCGCCCTGGGGCCTGAGGCCGGGCGGGGCGGGGCGGGGGAGACAATGTTTCAAGAATGAAAGGAGCAGGCGGGTCTCAGAGAAGCCGCCGCTCGGCGCCTCCACGTGAGAACACGGTCACAGTCTCTGCGTCGACCTTGCTCGCCCGGGAAGCCGCGCTGGGCTCGGTTTCCCTCCCCTGTCCTGCGGGGTGCAACCTGCAGGCCCACGCTGCGGGGTCTTTGCAGTTTGCGCCGCGGCGCTCTCGCGACTCTCGGGACCAGCCCCAGGTCCGGAGGGGGATTTCTCACGAGCCCTGGCGCCACCCGCTGCATCCTGGGTCGGGTCACGCCCGGACGTGGACTGGGGAGCAGACGGGGCAAGGGAAAGGGTGCGCGAGGGGTGAGCGCGCAGCCCGGGAAGAAGGGCTCCACCAAGCGGACGGGGAGTTTCGGGGCCGAGGGTGTCTAAGGGTACTGGGAAGTAGTGGAGCGCGCGGAGGTGATCGCAGACCCCCGCGCGCACGGAGCCCACCTGGCAGGCTTCCCGCACTCCCGCCCTCTCCGCCTTTTTGTGGTCCCGGAGCTTCGAACACCCTAGAAGTGAAATCTTGGCTCGCGGAACAATGGGGACTTCTGGCCCAGGCACCCCACTGTGTTCCCTACTGCTCCCTACGGGGCAGTGCTCCGAGCGTCTGCGCCCGCCCCGAGCCGCTGCGGCGCCCCCTCCTCGGGACTGCCCCCGCCCCGCCCCACCCCTTGGCGGCCCTGGCCTCGGCTTCTTAAAGTCGCAGGGTGTCTCGGAGCCCGGAGGAGCGCCGCCAGAGGAGAGGAGCAGTGTTGGGGGGCGCTAGCTCCCGGCGGTGGAAAGCAAAGAAGAGCCTAGGCGGTTGCGGGGCGGGCCCCGTGGACCCTCAACTTCTTCCCGCCTCGCCTTCATGCCTCCAAATGTTTACTAGCACCGGGTGACCACTGGCCACTCTCTCTCGGGGTGATCTCCGCCTCTCACCGACCCAGCAGACTGCTTCCCCCTCACCCTACTCCTTGATTCCCCCCTCCCCCAACCCTCCCACCCCTCACCCCCACCCCGGGCTCGTCTGAGGCTGCAGATTCCAGGGCCTGAATCCCTGCAGAGGTGTTGCTCGAATCCGGGAAAGGGGCTGAAGGGAGGAGGAAGCAAAGAAAAAAAGAGGCGTCGGAGTGAGGACTTAGCTGGGGTGGGGGAAGGGAAGGGGGAGGCGTGTTTGACTCCGTCACTTTCTGGCTTAGTTGCGGCCTTTAGGGTGGGGGCCCGGATCTTCTGAGCAGCCGGGCCAAGGAGAGAGTAGATAGCAGGGAAAGGGATTCTCCTCCCGACATATTCGGGGAGGACAGTGAAATTTTGCCTTGGGAGGCCAATTTTCTCATTTGCCCCTATTAAAAGAAAAAGCCCAAGAAATTCAATTAAAGCAACCCTGGCCAAGGCGCTATTTGAGGCATGAATGTCTCCCCTAAAGCTGCAGCAATCATGTGGCATTAGACACTTCCGGAATCCTATAGCCAACCTGAAAAATCCCAGACCCCCTTTTTCCCTAATTTTTGCTCTGATCTGTAATTTTATCCACATTTGCACTAGTTTGAGCATTCTGGCTCTCCCATCTGAAAGCCTGCAATTACTATATAATTCTTCGCAATTTCAGATGTCCTAATATGGACTGTAATTTTTGCGCAAGACAATTTCCTGCTATTTCAAGCATCAACATTGTCAAAGTTGTATGTACATAATAAATGGGAATATCAATGCATAGTTTTTAGCATAACATCTTGACTCCTCGATAATTATATCCGTTCGGAGCCTACGCAGAATTAGCCTGAATTGCATGGTAACTGCTGCTGCTTTAAAATTTTTAAAAATTACTCATAATTTTCCCAAAGATTACCAAGATCTCGAGTGCACAATGTCATCAGCGTAATGAAGAGTAAACATTTATGCTAATAATCTGCAATTTTTTTCATCAGCTATAAAGACAGAGGCTATATAGCCGAAAATTTCAGTCCTATTCTGCAAGCGCAGCGCTGCAAAAAGCCTGCGGCGCTCCGAGGCGCCCGGTCCTGGGGACCTCTTTCCACTCTTTACTCTCGGGATAGGAGGCTAGGACTGGGGGGTTGTTTTTTGGTTTTCTGGCTTTGTTTTCATCGGGGTTTGGACGGGTTTTGTGTTTCCTATTTTTCCTCTTTATTTTTCTCTGTTTTTTCTCTCTCTTTTTTTTCTTTTTTTGCCTTTTCTTTCCTGTCATTCTCCCAGCCAAAAGCCGCCTTCGACCCTTTTGATTTGATGTAGCAAAGATTGTGTCCAGATTATCTGAAATTGACACTGAAGAAGGTAAGGGTGGAAATCGGTTTCATTTTTCCGAGGGTTGGAAGGCTGAGCTGCGCGCCCGCCGCGGTGGCTCCCGCTCCGGGAGTAGGAGGGTGGGGGAGTGATTATGTATGCACCAGCTAATTCTTCCATCAAAACTTCTTGTCAGCGATGTCAGGATTATTTTTTTCCTTTTTATAAAAACACTTGATGTTTCAGGAAGTGTTAATCCCTGAAGATTGGGGGATGTGGGAGGGGGTAGGGAAGAAGTGGGTGGGGGTGACATGTTTCTTTTGCCTGGGGAAGCCACCCTATAGAGCCGTTTGCCTGTCTACACTGGATTTGGGGTTTGTTGTAGAGCTGGCAACCTAGGGAGGGTTTCTCTGAGTCATGAGAAGGAAAGACCCTTTACCCTCTGTACTGCATTGGATAGAGGTTGCTGGCGGAGTGAAATGAAGAGCAGAAAAGTTTGCTTTAGACTGTGATTCCAGGGCATTTTAACCCAGGTGGTGGGATGATTTAAAACTGGAGAATTCTGATGAAATCCTTTTGTTTTTTGAGGTACAGAATGAAAGAGGTGGATAACAGGACTTCAAAAATGTGTGTGTGTTGGGGCGGGGAGTGTCTGGGCTGCCCCTTTTCTCCCAATTTTTGTCAGAATTAAGACTCTGAGTTTCTATATGCAGTGCCCAGAGCTACATTTCTTTAGGAGGTAGATACTGCTCATTTCTTCAAGGGAAGAGATTTCGTTTATTTCCACACCTGATGACTCCAAGAATAAATTCGCACTGCTGTGCATCTGGGTGGAGGTATTTTAAAACTTTGTTTGCATCATAAAACTAGGGTAAAAGAGGAAAAACTAAGAGCTTCTGCCCCAGCCCAGATGCAAATCATCCCAAAAAAAGAAAGAGAAATAAGACTGAAAAATCAGTGAAAGCTAGCTGTGATCTAGAAAAGGTTTCCACTTATATAGAAGCTTTTTAATATTGCCAAGGTTTGCTAGCTGGGTTCTTTGACAATTAGACTAAAGCATACTGGACCACTCAGTTCCAGGCTTAGGGAAGCTGAGACCAGTGGGAAGGGGGTTGGGGATTGTCGCTTCTACCCTGCACCCCAACCTTACCCCTTTTAGAGCGAGTGTATGTAAGAGAAGATATTAAAGAGGTATCTGTTGTTTGGCAATTTTGCTAAGTCTGTCTTCATTACTTCGACGCTGTGCATTTGCTAATTTGGAGGCCCGGCCATTGACAAGCTTGCTCCATACACCTGCAAGCAATTTGCCGACTCCGGTACGGGAGAATTGCAGAGATGGCAGTTCGCACCTATTTGATTTTTTTTTCCTTTTCTCAATGCACAGCAAATTTGGCTTTCAGTGCGTTATCTCTTTTGTTAATGCAAAAAGATTCCCTGGGCGAAAAAATTGCTCATAATTACCAGAGAGATGGGGAAACTACATTAGAATAAATAAACCTGAAATTACTGTAATTATGTTGTGTTTGATGGGCCCGGCTTGTAATCAAGAAGAGAATACAGTGAAATGATGCTGACCCTCTTGGGTTTGCAGCTGTACGCGCACTTTGGGGTCTTTTTTTGCAGAAAAGAGTCATTTTGATAATCATTAAGCTGTGTGTAACCTATTTCAGAAGTGTTTTAAAATGAGGTTCACATTTTTTGAACAAGGGAAAAAATCCCAAAATTGCATTTTGCCATTACAGACTCATACATAAGGAAAGGTTGTGTTTTCTAAGTGACAATTGTTAAGACATAATATTCAAAATCAGTATTTAATCATTATAATGAGGTATTGTTTAAATATAACCACCTTTAGATTATTCATAGTTTAATTAATATACTCATTATGAAAATCTTTGAATCAGATATTTGATGAACTACTTGTCAGTAACAAGGCAGCATTAATTAGGCCTATATTGAGATTAACATTTTTTTAAAGTACAACCGCTTATAATTATAATAGAGCCTAACTAAAGACCGCCTTCGTTGAGCTAAAACTAATAATTTCTCTATTTGAACTGTTAGCAAGAGATTATTAAATTAGTATAAGCTAATATCTCCAAGTATTAAAATTCGCTTGACCAAACAGATCTTGCCTGTGGCTACAGGCATTGGGGCCTAGATGCCGTCTGGGGTACCCCAATGAGACGCTTTAGAGAAATCTGCCAATACCTCTCCGCGAGTAGAGCCGTATCTCCAAAGAGAAACGCAGAGCAGAATTGTCCTGCCCGCGGCATACGTTACAGCCTGGGAAATCGGTTTCCTTCCTCAGCTCTGAGGCCGGACCACCCGCTTGCATCTCCCCGAGGTCCGGTCTCCCAGACTAGCACTCCAAATTCGGGGTTCCTGCGAGGGAGCGGGGAAAAACCTCTCCCTCCCAGTCCCAGAAGGAGCTTCCAGGTCCGGAATTCGATCCCTTTCTGCATCCTTTTCTCCCTCCCTCACCCCCTCCTCTCAGTCCCCCCCCCCCTTCCCCAAAGGGCGTCGGAAGAGCTTTGGCGCATCTGATCTTTAACCAGCACCAATTGAAAAATGGGTGCTTGTCACAACACAGATCACTACCTTACGCGCTCCGCTCCCCACTGCGCGCTGCCAAGGGTCCCCCCAAAGGCGGAGGACCAACTCCCGCCAGGAAACCGTGTCAGGGACGGGGGCGAGGGAAGCGGGAATCGGCAGAACAGTCCGTTGGGGCCCAATGCGTTCCCTCGGGCCTCAGCTCCGCGCGGGTTGTGGGAGTTGGAAGGGGAGGTAGGGCTGAGGCTCAGGCCAGCGGCCAGGGGCAGAGGGGTGAGATGCTCGCCGCTGGAAGCTGCTATTTGGAGCGAATCGGTAGGAGCACCCCTATAAGAGGTGCCTAACCGCTTGGAGGCCAGACTCGTGAATTGGGGGGCTGGAATGGAGGGGTGTTGCCATGACAAGCTTTGGGGTTCCAACAAGTCACGAAGTCGCTCCGCCGCGCTCTGACAGCTTCATTTCTCCCAGCAGAGGAAAAAGACGCGGTAGCCACGGGCGGCTACCAGCGGGGCCTCTTTAGGGAGTCGTGCCCCCGGTGGGGTGGGAGTGGCTGTGAAGGGGCCCGGGTGGCGCCTTGGGACTGTTCCCCCACCCCCAACCCCCGAGCTTTCTGATTGATTGGGGGGTAGCTTGACAGACGTGTCCTTCCTGCCCGTTTCCGGCGTCTGGCCGCGTCTTTTCCGCGTCGGGATCCTGTGCCCTCCGGGCAAACAAAAGCGGGGAGGCCGGATCCCCGTAAGGGGAGGGGCAAAACCCCGGGTCTTGGCTTCCAGACCTCCAGGCCTCCCGCGAGGCGCGCGCGGGGCGCAGAGTCTCTCCAACGCGGCTTTCGAGTTCCGCTTTCATCTCTCCGCCTGCCTTCACAGTCCTTTTGGCGCCGAGTCACAGTTTTCCCAGGTCACACCTGTTCCCGATAGCCCCTTCCCAGAGACGTTTCCAGAAACTCCCCATCTTTCTTTCTCTCCGTCTGTTGTTATTGCTATTAATATAAACTTTTGTTTTTAGGCCAAACCCAAACCTCATTATATGGTGCTGTAGATCATATCTGGGTGGGCCGGGCAAGGCAAGAGCCTCATCTTCGGTCCTATCACTCCAGCCCTCCCCATCCTCCCAACCCAGGTAGGGCTAGACCCTTAGGGTGAGGAGCAAAAGGGGAAAGGGGTCAGCACCCACTGGCGCCAAGAGTGGCTTGCCCGTCTTGTTTGTTCCCAGAGATGGGCCTGCACCCCGCTGCCACCCCCTCACACAGCACACGGGACAGCAGCTCTTTCTCGAAACCATAATTTTACTGTTTCAAAGAAACTTTATAACTTATTTACAAAGTTCTTTTTCCCCATCCCCCCAAGATACAAAGCAATAAGTTAACATTCTCAATATAAAACTAAACTTTGACATAGAGAACACAAAACACAGTTGATTTCAATTGATCACATTTTCCGAATTTCACAAGTAAAATGTCAAGATTCTCATTTCACAAAGCATCAGGTTTTACAGCCACACACAACAAAACGGAAAAAAAAGCTAAGCTTGTGCAACATGTTTACGGACCAATAATAATAACAATAATAATAATTAATAACAACAATAATAATATGTACAGCGATTCCATCCTGCACTGGAGACTGCACTCGGGCAGCAGCTGGCATGGTTCTGTGGTCCAGCCTGTGGGGCAGTTGTCGTAAAGCTGCTTTTGTCTTACTTTATAGTCCCCTGGCTCAGGGGCACTTGTTCACCCTCTGCCTGTTTTCTCACCACTGCCCTTTGGGGTCTTCTTTCTCTTTCTCCCTCAGGAGGGAATTAAGATTTTCTTTCTTATCCAGGCAAAGCAAGGAAACATTCTTCTGGAGATGAGGAAATTGAGTTGTCTCATCTCTCTCTTTCTTTGTAAAGTAACATGAGACATTTAAAAAAAGATGCATATCATTCGGCTCCAACCTCTCCACACCAGCGAAATACAAAAGTCACCATATAAGTTAAAAATCACCAGGTCCTCCATACTTATTTATCCGGGTGCTTTCCAAGTAATCCCAACGTTTGGACCGTGAGCTTCTCCTCACCCGCTATAGAATCACAAATTGGCTACTGTTCAGTCTCAGGCCCAGTTCATTTCTCAATAAATAAAATCCCCACCCTCCAATTCCCCCCAATTCCCGAAGGAGCTACACAGACGGTGAGGCAGGTCCAGGAGAAGGTCCAAACGGACAAAATATATATATATATATGTATATATATAATAATGTCTCCGTATCAGGAACCCGGCGGTCTGCGTCCCCCTCCGACCTGGTGACTCTTTGCAGAGGCCGTAGAATGAGGACAGCGACGGACGAGGACCTCGACTTTGTCAGCGCACAGATACAGAGCAAAGGGAGACAGAGACGGACAGGACAGAAAAGAGCCTTTGCTTTTTCTACTGTTCGGTTTTGCTTTTTTTTTCTCCTGATAGTTCCGCTAGCGCTTGAGCGCGGGGCCAGAGGCGTGTCTTTGCTGCTCCTTGGATGAGGTGCGGGCAGTAGGGCTTGGGCCACGGGTAATGCGTAACGAGGCTGGAGGCTGCCGAGGCTGCCGAGAGCAGGGATTTGGGTAAAGGCATGGGCGCCAGGGAAGTCACTGGGCCTGACGCAGGCCACAGGCCGTGGGCCTCCTGCCTTCACTGTTCCTTCTTCTCTCCCTCTGGGCCCTCCTGGTCCGGCTCAGGGCGCACAGACGGGGTTGGATGGACTTGGAACCTGGAGGCTGACGGGGCCCGGGTTGGGGGAGACGGGAAGGAGGCGGGTGGGTGCGGGCGGGCAACCTCACATGAGCTGGGGCTGCTGCATAGCTTCTTGGTGCGCTGAGGGGTACCACGATGTGTAGCTGGGGATATAGGATCCCGCACTACCTCCGGATCCCTTTCCAGAGGAAGAGTTGGGGTTCCAGCCGGGTGGCACCGGCGGGGAGCCGGCTGACAGAGCCCGGCCGTTGGCCAGGGCACTACCCTCCAGAGCCGCCCCGCCCTGCTTCATCAGCTTCTTGAACTTGGAGCGCTTGTTCTGGAACCAAATCTTGACCTGCAAGAGCGGACAACATTGTGACTTAGGTCCGTTGTGCCCATGGTGGTCACAGGGAGACAGGGACAGCGGAAACAGCTTTCCCCACACACACACACTCTCTGCCCTGGAGACCTGCTGGAGTAACAGAGGACAGCAGCCCTAGCTCAGCCCCGCTGCTGCTAGCTCAGATCTGCAGGGGTAGCTAGCAGAGAGCCAGGGGGCGTGGTGGTAGAAGTGAGCCCGGACTGCAGGATTGGGCTGCCAGGGACACAGCCTGACCATGACCATCACCTGGGGGAAGATTCAGTGCCAACCCAATGTCAGCCATCAACTCCAACATGACCATCAATAAAAGAATCAAGTGGTGGGAAGGGGTGGTGGAAGTTTATTTGCCTTTGAGACCCTTCTCTTTGCACCGGCATTTTCTACCCTTGGGTTTGGGACTATTTGAGGAGGGTTTTCGTTCAACTTTCCATCTGGACTTAAGCGAACCTTGTCTTAGCATCTGTTTTGCTCTTCCCCAGCTCTTGCTCCAGTTCCCACCTGGATGTTGGAAACCCATGCCAAGCTGATCCGAACCCTCCTGGATTTTCCAGGGTATTCAAAGAAATCCGGAAAGGAAGGTTTCTGCTTTGGGGTCTGGGATGGTAGGTGAGAGGGTGGAGGAAAGAATCCCCCCACCACCACACCCCCACTCACACACCTGTGAGAAGGAAGAGCAGGGGAGACAGAGGGTCAGGAATGGTCAGGCCCAGGCCCAGAGTGGTTAGCCACACACTTGAAAGGCAAGCAAGGGATTAAGTCCCGAGTCTATTGTTCCAGTTGTTGGGGGCACGTGTGACCTCGGAGTTCCCAGACAAAACATGTAGGGAAATCCTTCCTGCGCCCTAGTCAGGTTGTCCAGGGAAGTGGGTCCGGGAGGGAGGAGACGCAGGGCTGAGTCCAGCGACTGGGTTAGGGCAGAGAGAATGAGGACAGGATACGCTGGGAGCCAGGGCTCTGAGGCAGGCAGGCGGATAGACAGACAGATACGGACACACATAGGAGACCCCGAGGCCCAGAGAGCAAAACAAAAACAAAACGAAGATCCGGGCGGGCGCGCAGGCGGGCCGCGGGAAGCCTGAATGGCAGAGGGGCGGTAGCGAGGTACCTGCGTCTGCGTGAGTCCCAAGGAGGCCGCGAGCTCCGCCCTCTCGGGCAGAGCTAGGTACTGAGTTTGCTGAAACCTCCGGTTCAAAGCCTGCAACTGCAAACTGGAATAAATCGTCCTGGGTTTTCGGATCTTTTTCCCTTTGCCATTGAAGCGCACTTCACCGCCTTCCACCACCGTGCTCTTCTCAGAGTCAGCCCCTGGAGGGACAGCAGAAGCGGGGCGTTGTTAATGCGAGGGACAGTCTTTAGTGCCGTGAGCCGAAGGCGAGTGGCTACCGAGGGGCAGCGGAGGCAGAACCCGGAGAGAGAGAAAGAGAGAAGGTTCAAGAAGAAACTCCGAAAGTCGGGAAAGGGACCCAGAAAGTCCCGAGGGCCTGACCTGGGTCGCCACAGGCGGACTAGGGCAGTTTCCAGACACGGAGCTCCTGCCTTTTGCAGGGAAAATTTGCTATTTTTTGCAGGCGGTGGTTGAGGTTTAATTACCCTTAATTGCATACATTGTTTATAGCGCTACGCAATAAATAATTACCGAGACTAATACGTGCACATGTGGGTTTCTGCTTGCAGCCTGGCTCAGCGCACAGAACCACCCAGAGGCCCAGCCAGTGGCAAGGGACGCTCTCGGATTTATCTTTTGCTGGATTAGTTGTGAGTTTGGTGAATTTTCGTTTGAATTTCTTTACTATGACAAGGGTCCATAGGTTGATACCCGAAACCTTCGTTGCTCTGGCGCCCTACCCACCCCCACCCACCCCCTCCCTTCGTGTCTCTCTCTCTCTCTCTCTCTCTCTCTCTCTCTCTCTCTCTCTCTCTCTCTCTCTCTCTGTCCCTCTCCCTCTCCCTCTCTCTCTCCTTCCCTCCCTCCCTCTCTCTCTCCTTCCTTCACACCCTGGTCCTCCCTCTCTCTCTCTTTTCCCTCCCTTTTCCCCTTTTTATTTCCCTCCTTACCGCTTCCTTTCCCTCTCCCTGGCAGGCGCACGTACCTGGATCCTCCAGGCGGCTCTGGGCGAGGCTGGCGCTGCCGGGGTAGGACTGCACCGAACTGATGTAGGGGCTGGACGCGTGGCTGCTGACCGAGTTGACGTAAGGGTAGCCCAGCGGTCGGGAGAAGGACGAGGCCGAGCTGTAGGCACCGTCGGGCTGAGAATGGCCCGCCGAGTGTAAACAGTGCATGGAGTAATGCCCGTGGGACATGGGAGAAGGAGACATTTGCTGGTTGGGCGGCCCAAACTCCATAAACACCGCCTTGCCCGATACGGGGCTGTTGAGACTTTCTGGCATGGTGGTCATGGTCATCTCTTCTCGCGGGGTCTGGGTGTGGGTGTCTCTCTCCTCTGCTTCCCTTTTGGGGGTCTCTGTGTTTCTCAGGACGGGAAGGAACCCAATTTAAGCGGAACAGGGGTTTTCACTTTCCATTCATAAGAAAATGGAGTTTGTCTCTTTGAAAAGTCTAAGCATGATGCTGCCGAGCTCCCCAAACTCGCTTCAAAGCTTTGACTCAGCCAAGGTCATAAATATTCATGAGCTGGTGGAGCTGATTGGTCCGCTGCCTTGCATAATCTCCGGGGATTGGTCCGAAGCGCTCCGGCTCCTCTGGACTAGAGCGGGCGAGGCGGCCGGGCCTCGGGAGAGACGCGTCCACACTTCCCGGCCGGGGCTCTTCTGCAACGGAGCGCGCGGTTTGGGGCGCACAATGGACTGCGGCGCCCGCAGTTCTTCGGCCTCCCGCCACCCCAGCGCGCCTTACTTCTCCCCAGACACCCGCCGGCGTCTCGGCGCTGCCGCACTACCCCCTGGCCCCCGCCGCCACTGTTCCCACCCTCTGCCCGCCCCTGGCACTCGGGACCCCCCCCCCTCCACCCCCAGGCACCGCTTCTCCAAGGCCACCGTCACCCAGTTCTGCGCTCAGCCCGGGCGACTCTGAAATGCCGGCCGAGGCCTCGAGCGTGGAGTGGCTCCCCGGCCATCCCCGGATGGGGATGGCGGGGGGGGGGGGGGGTTGGGGGGCGCGCTCGAGGCGGCCCACGGAGCGCGGTCTCCCCACCAAAGCATCTGGTGCCTGGTGCAGCGCTCTGCCCGCAGTGCCGCCCCAGGGCTCTGGGTCGCCTCTAGCACAGCCCTAGGTCGCGCGGGAGGCCCCCGGGGCGAACTCACTCACTCGGCCGCCGCGCCGCCGCCGCCGCTCCCTGGGGCCAGCTCGCATTGCTCCAGGCCCAGCCGGCCACTCCAGCTCGAGTCTACACCGGTCTGATGAAAGCACAGCGCGCCCAGAGCCAGGAACCCGCGCTTCTCCTCCCAGGAAAGGCGGCCGCACCGCCCCCTCCCCCCAGCACACACCCCCTCTTTCGCTCGCGAGCTGCCTCCGCCTCCCCCTCCCTCTCCACTCCCTCTGCGCGGAGCGTCCGGGGTTCACTCGCCCCGAGGGCGCTGCGTGGAGGGGAGCCTCGAAGCCGGCCGGCTCAGTTCCTCGGGCGCGAAAGACAGACTCCAGGGGGGTCTTTTTCCGGCCTCTCGATGTCTGGCAAAAGCACCTGGGGTTTAGGCGTCTTGGAGGGGACACGGGACCCGTGCCCGAAGCAAGCTAGTGGTGGGCTCTCCTTATCTGCCTGTGGACAGGCCGCTCGTGGCCGCCCCAGGACCCACCTCCTCTCTAGTGGTCATAGCGGGCACCCCTGGGCCTGTGGGCTGGGCTGGCAAAAGATGCCACCGCGTCTTCTATCTTCTGGGACTCTAGATACCAAAAAAAAAAAAAGCGCACAAAAGGGCCTCAACTCCCCCCGCCACACACACGCCGCGCCACTAGCACCCCACAGTCACCCCCGCGAGGCGTGGCGCGCACCACGCTGGCTGCGAAGGGCTGTTGGTTTCCCCATCCCACCAACCCCACGGTGAATCCCAAATTACTTTGTTAGGTAATTAGAAAGTGTTGATAATTATTTCTTTCATAATTTAGCGGTGTGATGGGAACGGGGAAATGATCTTGTGAAAGTTCACACGTGCAGATGTATTAGTTACTGATTCATTTGATTAAATGGTAGTCTCAAGTGCTCGGATCCGCAGCTGAAGGCGCCCCATTAGCATAACACTGATGTTTAATTTTCATACGCATAATTAGCCATATATTTAACACTAATAGCAACATGCAGCCTTTCAGCGTTAAACAGCCCGGGATTTGATCTGGCCTGAGCTGAACCTTCGCCGATGCACCTTCCCCTGTCTGGAGTGCGCAATGATCACAGGACAAACCTCTGTAATCAAGCGCATTTTGGCAGAGGGAACACCAATAAAAATGAACATTCAAAACAAATTACATTGGTGCTGTCGTTAGAGATATTAGTGGAAAAGCCTCTCTCTCTCTCTCTCTCTCTCTCTCTCTCTCTCTCTCTCTCTCTCTCTAACTTCTGTAGCAGCTGCTGCTGCCCGCGGAATTTCTCTCCTTGGGTTTAAGGGCATGATGTCGGGGGTTGAAATATTTCAGGCGGCGTGGTTGGAGCAGAAAGAAAAACAAAAGCAAAAAAAAAAAAATCAACAACCAATCATCCAAACCAATAACGGGTTTGCCAACGCCTAAAAAGATTTTTTTTCCTTCCCCTTAATCACCGAACCACACGGTGAGGCTTTGTAGCAACAACCAGTTAATGACTCCTCCACCAGACAACTCCCGGAGCCGCGCGACTCCTCTTGATTCCTTGCTCTTGTGATTTTAATTGCTTCTTCCTAGCGCCTATTTTGGGGTGTGCAGTGTGGTGCGGTGTGCCCCGCAAAACAGCCGCCGGGATGCCTCCCGGGCCCCTGATGGCCTGCGCGCGCCTCGCGGGCCCTGCGCACGTAAGTGATCGCGGCGGCCGGCGCAGGGTCGGCGTGGGGATGGGAGAGAGGGGTTGGCGCGTCCCAGTGCTCAAAACCTCGCTGGAGGAAACCCGACGGCTGGACCGCCGAGGGCCGGTTTAGTTCAGAGAACTGCAGGGTGGGGGAAGGGGACACCCAGGGCCTAAGGTCGCGACCGTCTCCCAGGCTCTCTGGCCCGCACATCTGGGAGCAGCCCAGTCCCGAGCGAGCGGCGCGGGGGACCGACCGGGTGGGTTTGGCTCCCCGGAACAAAGGACCGGCACGAGACCCCTCGGGAGACGGTTTCAGAGCCTTACTTATTTTGGAAATGAGTTATATGTGGGCGAGGGAGTGTCTACACTCTGGAATTATTTCTTGGCCCCAGAGAAGCGGGAGCAGAGACGGCCGAGCCAGGGCCCTCGAGGCGCCGCGGCGACCGGCCCTGACTAGCTTCTCTCGCCTTGCGATCTTATCTCTCCTGTGAACCCAGAGTGGACTTTTCCCGCCCTCCACCACTAAAACGACACCTGTTCTGAACCGTCAATTTACTTAGATCTTTGCCTGTCCCAACTCTGAAGAAAACTCTATTTATCCGGAGCGTCCCGGATTCCCAGTGAAACCTGTTGGAGACCCCGCAAGGATCGGGCTCCGGGCGGTGTTAGCCACGTGTGATCCGAATACCAGAAGGCCCGGGTGAGGTTTGGGGCCAGTTTCCAGGCTAGGGTGTGGAGGCCAGGTTTTCTGGGGTTTGTTTGTTTTCTTAATTTCAACTTCAAAGCATGTTAAACAGAGGAGTTCCTTCTAATTCAATTTGTTTCCTCAGGAAGTGTAGGCTGGTGCTGGTATATATACTTTTCTGTGTATGTGTTATAATGTTTAAACTTTAGGTTAGTCACTTTAATAAATGGGATTATAAACCTGTTCCATAAAAACCTGCAGCTCTGAATAATTGCTGAGCAAGCAGCATGTTATCCCAGTGACTGGTGAAAATCCCGTGGTACTAATAAAATTATTCTCCAGGAACTTTGGGGATAAAGTGACCATAGATAAGATCTGGGTTGAAATGTAATTGCTGGAAGAAGGCTGAAGCTTCCAAGCCCATTTGGGCCCTTTTCTCCTGCAGAGAATCCTAAACCTTCTCTTGCAGCAGTGAAATCTCCAGACCTTTGCTTGGCCAACTCTCTAATATGCCAAAAGTTTTTCTTGTGAATCTTCAGCACTTCCCTAGTCCTTCCAGCTCCCAGGACCATTTGAACCAGTCTCTGTCTTGGTTCTACATCCCTGGATGCAGAGACAGGGAGCAGGAGTGGTGAGAGGTGACCTGAGAATTCCAAACTCAGAGCAGCTCAAACTAGCCCCTTTACCCCTGCATGCTCATTGACTTTGCTTTCCTCTCCCTGTCTCCTCTGCTCTGAGGGTCAAAGGCCACCTGTCATGCCTCAACCGGTGGTCACATTTCCTGAGGTTCTGGAGCCCAGGCTACAGTGGGTGGGAGGTGTGCAAGACCCGCTTCTGCAGAAACTAGAATCTGCACAACCAACGGATTGTTGTCTGTAGTCTAGCTGTTTTGCACCCCCTCCCTGGACCTGTTTCTAAAACCATGGCCAGAAGAGAACCTTTTCCAAGGTGGCCTGCATGGAGTCCCACCCCTTTCTGCTGAGAGCTTGGATGTGAACAGGTCCCAGGAGCAAGGGAACAAGGAAAGGTGGTTGGGCAGAAAGTTCACAATGTGTGTCCTGGGAGCGTCTGCTTTCTAAAGCAGGAGGAGCTGCTGGTCAGGCTAATTAGCGAAGGTCCTAACCCTCAATTGTTCAGGAATCTTCTCTTGTGGTGGGATTCTTGGGTCTCTAGGAAGCCCCAAAGGGGTCTGGGATGGGGAGAGGTTAACTTAGTGACTAAACGGGAGCTGCACACTTGGAGGAGTGGAGGTTCAATGCCTCGTTTTAATAGATCATCCGGCCTATTGGGGAGTGGGGATGGTGGGCAGGGTCTCTCCAAAGTTGCCTTTGGGATGGCAAGAGCAGGGTGGAATGACAACCGGGAAGCAGCTGCTGCAGAGGATTGGGAAAGTCAGGTTTTCAGGCCAGGACCCGGTCCACTGCAAGGAAGCTCACCGTTCATCACTCGCAGGCAAAATCTTTTCATTGCTAGTGGCTGAGCAAGGGAAGGGATGGATAGGGCTAGGGGGTGGCAGGGGGTGACTATCCTCTGCTAACACTCTCAGGGCAGCCCATGTGGCATCCACAAAGGGGGGAGGGAGGTTGTGGTTGTGGGAGAGGCTTTTGAAAAAAAAAATCCAGCTATCAGCTACATTCAGGTTTTTCTTTGGGTGCGGGCGCTTGAAGTTCAGACACTACCACCTGCCCTGTCCCTTAACTCAGATGCAAGGAACACAGCCATGGTGGGTTTAAGTGGTGTTTTTTATTCAAGCAGATTAGGACAAGGATAAGCAAAGCAAGCTCCGTCTATGAATTCCTCTTCTAACTACGGTGTCCCAACCCCCTTGAAGTTTCCTTTGGGAACCCGCGTCAGGCGCCAGGGGCTGCTTCTCTGACAGACATTGTGAGGCTGCAGACAGGTCTGAGTTGTCCGCGGCACTTCCTCAAGGTGCTGTTTTAGGTGCTAGGTGGGTTACTACGGGACCAGCCCGTTTTCTTCTAAAAGTTTTCCAGCTGGATTTCAGCAATTTGGAGGGGGGAGACTCTGCGGTGTCAGTCCTCGTGAGGCAGTTTGGTAAGAATCTGCGCACCCCCCGACGTGATGAGAACCGTGTGCTCGAACTGGGCGGACCTGAAACGCACAGGCCAGCGGTTAGGACTAGCGAGTGCTGTCTGACCAGCCTTTGCTTCCCAATCCACAGAAAGCAATAGGACAGAAAGCAGCAAACACCTCCGATTGTCGAGGGAGATGACGGTCCATGCGTCCTCCAGGACTTTAAATTCAGGGGATCCTTCGGTTATGATTGGCTCTGTAAGAGGGAAAATATTTACTGCAAGGATCTAATCAGATTCTTGTCAAACATTGTTTCCGCTGATTATTAAAAAAAAAAAGAAAAGTTCTTCCCCCTCCCTCCAAGTGCTCCCCCCACCACGGGTTCATGTTGTCATCTCGCAAGGGTTGATAATTGATGCTGCTTACATGGTGTACTACAAACTAAACAGTAGGAAGAGGAAGCGGGGCAATTCAAAAATGTATGAAGTTGCCTGGTTCGTAATTTTTTAGAGGAAAAAAAAAAGGGCATTTTAATCAAGCCTTAATTAAGACCCCGTGGATAATAACTACCCAAACACTAGTCCCTCTTATAAACACCAGTCAGTTTAAAAAAAAAAACAACATTTTTTGAATTTTTAAAACCTGTTCAAAACATGCATTAATCAGCAAATAACAATTTTCTTATTTCACTCTAATTGCTTCTCCATTAAGTCCCACAGTCAGGACTAGGATGCCTTTGGGGGTCTTAGGTGATTGGAATTTGGTGGTGACACCAATCACATGAGCAGCCAGGATATGGGCCCCCACAGAACATATGCTACTTGCTGACACAGGGAACAAGGCATAATCATGGCCTCTAGTTACTGGGTGCTCATGAAAACAAGAAACACACACACACACACACACACACACACACACACACACACAAAACCCAACCCAAACAAACAACAAAACCAAACACCACATTATGCTGGTAACAGAATTAGAGGTTGGATGGTTGCCCTCTCCTAAATGTGTCGGTAAGTATTTGATTTAGGAAGATGGGGCTCGAGGATATTATTTAATCAGATTTACTATGCATGTGAATTATTTCATTACGCTGATTGGCTTTATTAGTCCTTCACAGTACTGCCTGGCCTAGGCCGACGCTGCTTCTGCCGGGGAGTTGTGGCTCTGCAGAAGCACTGGGCACTGACCTATGGTGAATGCCATGCCCTCCTCCATGAGTAGTTCGTTGTCATTTGCTGCAAAACAAACAAAACAGGAAGGGGTTGGTGGTCAGGAGGCAGTGGGAATAAGAAATGAAAGGACAGAGACCAGCTAGAGAGGGTTGGACTCTGGAAAAACTTTATCATTTCTTCTTTCTTCTTGGGGAGGAGGGAGTCATCTACAATATTGGGTAGTGGTGATTCCCCGGGGATTTACATGGGCTCCTGGATCTTAGTCAGCCTGTTCATTCTGTCCTTGGGGCCTAGGCCCAAGGGGGCACTTGGGAGAAGGGAAGGGAGCATTGAAGAACGGGTGACCCAAGTGCTTTAGACACCTGTGTGGCTGTCCCACGCTTCTGTCTCCTGCTCACTTGTAGCTCAAGGTTTTCTGGTTGAGCTGGGCTTAGGCCTAATGACCTTTCAACACTCCAAAGTGTAATACATGTCTTGGGAAAAAAAGCTGATACAAAAGGAGGGAAGCCACCTGGGGGGGGTTGTTTTTTTGGGGGGGTGTCACACCCGGCGATGCACAGGGGTTACTCTTGGCTC